TAATCCACTTTCTTTCATTGATTCCCAGTTTTTCATTGAATTTACATGATATTAAAGCTGTTTATTGGTAACATTCTGTAGTAGCAGTAGGTAACTGCTGTCACACATGTTTCTTGAATTTGAGGAATTTAGTACTGGAAAGTCCTTGAAAGGGCCTTGAATTTGATGTTGACCAAGGTGTGGGAACCCTGGTTTTCTCCAGGTACTCCAGTTTCCTCACAGAACATGCATGCTGGGTTAAAATGGGCACATTTGTGTTGCCGTCTTAATAGATATATTATATACTGTATTAAGTAAACAACAAAAAAAGAACACGTTTCAAGTTGCCACCATCTTTTTTCAACTGTAAACTAACGTGTTGCTGTAGGTGTCACTGAGCGGTCTGCCTCTTACCCCCTCCAGGTACAGACTCTGACCTCGGCAGCTGCAGAGAGCTGATCTCCTCCTCCGCCAAGGCTGTTGATGAGTTAATTACYGGTCTGTCCGAGGAGGGCGCCGAGACTCTGTCCCTATCTGCACGAGACGAGCTCCACTCCGCACTCCAGCCCTTGTTCTCGTCCTCTTGGCGCCAACAGGAAATAGACGAGAACAGGAATTCATSCAGCTCTGAGAAGAGTACAGAAAACGACTTGTCGACCAAAGAGAGAGCTAAAGCACACAGCACTGTTAGAAATCGACTTGTGAGTAAGGTCGTTTACTCCCTCGCTCCTGGTGTGTCCAACAGTGGTAGTCCACACTGGGTGTAATGGTTTTTTTTTTGTGTGTTATAACTTACATGTTTTTTTATCGACTATAAAATATGTGTGGTTTTTGCCATGAAAAAGGATATTGGGTTAAGCTTCTGAACTTTGGGTAATTGTATCCTACAAACGATGTAGAAAATGCTGAAGTAACCTGGTGTAAATGCAGCAGTGTTGAGATGCGTTGAGGGTTTCATCCTTGGTAGGATCAGAACTTTTGCTGTCTTCAGTGTAAATGTATTTACACATGAGCTGAAGCAAGGACTTTCATCGTTCATCATATAAACATGTAACATTTCATTACCTAGCAGCTTTGGTACGCTGTTTTGTAAAAAAATAATCATAGATGCTTTCACTTCGTTCTGTACATGGTTTRTATTTATGTATAATGGCACGTTTAGTTCTCATGTTTGCATAAACATGACTGTAATACACAAACAATTAGCTTTAAGAGAAGATGTGTAWAATTTAGGTCTCTCTTTTTGTAAGCAAAGTGCTATTTTAACCTTTGCCATATTTATGGCACATTTTTTTTATCGAAAAAGAAATTATATCAGCTGCTCGCACAAGAAAGTAAATTTACGTGGCTTGTTTTCAAGTWTTTATGTTTTTGCTTTGAGCAGTTRGTGCACTCTGATCTGCACCTAAAAGGATTTTTTAATTTTAAATTGGCACCTAAATATGCTGTCTACATTTTTGATATGCTTAATAAACATGTTCCAAATTGTATGTACACGTTGGACTACTTTATCAATTGCTGAACTTTTATAAAGGTAACAATGTGTGTACAATGTTCTTTGAATCATGAATAATATTTGTACTGTTATGTAAGTACACATTAAACCAAATATTTTCTCCAGTGACTTGATGAGTTACCACAACTAATATCTTAGTATATTATTTTAGAATTAAGTTTAGATCAAATATAGAACCAATGTCAGACAAGACCCACTGGAGTTTACACCCGGGCCCCTAGGGGTCCCCGGACCCCTTTTTTTTTCTTTTTTTTTTTTGCCAACCTCCTGCTGCTGGCTGCAGGTTACACCCACTCCTCTTCTTATTCCCCGTTCATGCTCGGGAGTCAACAAGCTTCGTGTTCTTGCACAGTTCGAGCAGATTTAGCTGAAGTKAAAAACTGAATCTTTCGTAAGAGAGTGGATGTTGCGTTCACGGACACGACTCGACTGAAACGAGAAGACGCACAATAAGGACTAATAAATCAGGTAAAACGACCCGTTCGCTTAAATATCCGATGTAGTCCCATTTTCTATCCCAGTGTAACAAGTCTGTTTTTACAGGATGTGCTGGTTATACTTGTCCAGTTTAAGCCTGCTTGTAAGTACTGTTTTTTCTTTTTTTCTCAGAACTTGTTCGGAGTTAAAATGCCCCCATATTAGGGCTACACGTTTTGAATAAACAAAAAGTAAAAAATAAAAAAAGGTGTTTTGTCAGAGTTTTTGGCGTAATAACAGAACAGCCTTTATTAAACTGTAGACAACGACGTGTTATTGTTATGTGTTAATTATTTTATGTCTTTATGAGCTTTCACGAAGCTGTTGCTAGAACTTATTTATCAAATAAGGTAAAGTAACGGKGGGGGGGGGGGTTGTAATAAGTTGGGTAGACGAGCTCTACACAGGTGTATTCAGTTATCATTAATTAAAGCTTCTGCAATGCCTTCAATCCTGACATTAAAATTGTATCTGTGTTTTAGGTGTGTGTTCACAGCTTTACAACAGGTGAGTTATATTCACTCCGTTTTGGTTGTATTACTACCACATCCCTATRTCATGCTGTTTATTTACAATAATGTTTTTCGGCTATGCAATTGGGATACATTTGGCACCGCATTTTGTTAGTTTGCTAATTTTTTTTTCCTGTTTTTAAACCTTTTTTGGTGTAATTTGCATGTCTGTTGTAAAATATAGAACAATTATTTATAAAATTACATGTACACCAATACTTATGTGATTTTTTTTTTTTTTTTTTTTTACTCTATTTGTGCATCTTTTCTATCAGCTGTGGTGGCCAATCATGTTTCAGGTGTGCCACCCCGGCTGCCCATCTGGCTTTGTTTTGGTCACATTTTTTTAAATGAACCTTGTAAACCCTGATGTTACTGGGTTTCTCTGTCTATAAAACATAATAGACTCATTCAGTTTGCTTCAGTAATTAAGATATAATAAAATAAATCCAATAAATGCAGTGGTTTCACTCAAAACAGCAACAAATACACTAAGTAGTCACACAAAACAGATCTGTCATCCCAGTTATCTTTGTACTAATTCAGTTATGTTTGGTACATAACAAAGTTAAGATTTTCACTTTAGACAGACAAACATAACAAAAATTCCAGTTTTTCTTTTGTTTAGAGCTCACTAAAGTACAAGTTAATGTGAAATACAAAGGCATGAAGAAGTACATGACTTTAAATTGTTATAATGTGGAATATTTATATCTTAAAAGCTTAATCTGACCTACAAACTGACTGCAAAAATACATTTATGGGGTCTTGATAAGTCTAGCTTTGGGTAAGTCAGAGAGGGATTCCCCTCAGTGAAATAACCAGATGTTTTTAAAGTTGATGTCATTGTTTAGTTCGTGTCCTGTCTCAAAAATTTACTCATTGATTAAATCAAAAAGCAGTCGATAGTTTTAACCAATTTTGTTTGCTCTGCATTTTCCTGACATCAGTTTCTTTTCTTTAGCCTTTACACTTCAAACCAGAAGCCATGCATATGGGGAGTCGTACTTTGARTATGTACCTGATCGCCTTCAGTGGCAGACTGCAGAGGAACTGTGTAAGCAACGCTCCGGGGCCTTAGCAACAGTCTCCAACCCAGCAGAGAACCAAGACCTGGCCAGCTTTCTAAAATCATTGAAAATCTCTCAGCCTGTGTGGGTTGCCAGGAAAGTTTTGAAACACCAGACAAGTAGGTTCAATATTCCATTTGTTATACTGTATATTTACAGACTTGCAATCTTTCTTTTTTTTTTTTAAACAGTAGTCTTAGTTAATTTTTTTCCTATGGAATTTTAGCCCTGCTCACATCCTTAAAAAAGGGTTGCATTATTAATGGGTCCTAATTGTTTATAGCAGTAGCATAACTCCAAACTAAAATTTCATAATTTGTCCCTTTTTTTGGCCAAACGTTACAGAAGTCTTGTTTCATTGGTCCTTTGTTTGCTCTGCTTGCGGTGAAACTAAAGGTTCCTCCACGTCCTTGGTTCTGGAGTTCTCCGGGCGCTCGGACAGGAAGCATGCACGCCTTAAGCACAAGTTCCCCTCCATGGGCTCAGTGACTGTTTGCACTCAGCTGCGCTTCGATGCAAACTGCTTTGGAATTTCCACAATCTTCTCTTATTCCATCCCATCCTACATTAATGAGTTCCAGCTCCGAGCAAACGTGGTTCGGGGCGAGCCTGTGCAGTTGGCTCTGTTGATCCATGGAACTCACGGGCCTTATGTAGAGGCATTTAAACACGACAACTCCTGGCACTCTGTGTGTGTTTCTTGGAGCAGGATTGATGGACACTGGGCACTATATGCTCATAATCATTTAATATCAAAGGGTGATGGCCTAAACAGTAATAACGCCATTGGTCCTGATGGCCTTTTCATCATTGGTCAAGAGCAGGACACATTTGGAGGTTCTTTTAAAGCCCACGAGTCTTACTGCGGAAACATCACAGAGCTGCACATTTGGGATCGGGTGCTGAACAGCAGTGAAATAGTCACTATGGAAATGGAGTGCTCACCCATCTCCTCTGGGCTAGTGTTCAAGTGGAGTGAAGMAGCCATGGAAATAGAGACCTCCCTTACAAAGCTGTGGAGAGACAATCTATGTCAAGGTACATTWGTCTAGAATTAAAACCTCAGATTATTTATTTTTCAGCATGAAAGTACATGAATTTATGGTCACCTCAAAGGCAGAAGAGACAGCAGTTGGTCGACATGGTCCAGTGGTTGAGTCAAACTTTACTTTAGACTGGGTGGGGTTGCTATGCAGAAAAACAATCAAAACAGACCCAATTTAAAAGCCGTTTACACTGTTGAGTAACTTGCCAAGATCTGAGCTGTGCTGATGTAGTAAACTCCACCCATCTGGCACTTTGTTCAGTCTGAAAGCAATGACACATTAGAGATGTGAACAGACCTAAATCGGCTGTGTTTCTGACCTATATTTATCCACACATTTTCCATTCCCTAACCCTTAGTAGAATTAAGACGTTTTAACATCTTGCATTACTGAAACAGTTGTATTAAACTGGTATAAAGTAAAATATACTATTTGAAATGCAATGTTAAATTAAATATAACTTTGCAATCTAAATAATGAAATAACAATTAGACTGATCTAACTTTCAATTACAATTTTGTTCAGATGTCTTTTTTTGTCAGTATACATTTTGAACTGCTTTTATTTATTTTTATACATTTTATAATGAACAAAAAAAGACTACTGGTGARTAAAATATACTTTTGAGTTAAATTACCTCAGATAGAAAGCACTGTTTATTGTTTAACATGAAATATAAGATCTTCCATCCACAGTGGCAGCTAATTCATTTAAATTACTAAACTGAGCATTAACAATAACTGAATGAGAATTCATCAAATTAGTTCTGAATTAATGGTGGGTTTCAGTAAGCTTAGCTTCACATACTCTTATCAAATGTCTGTTCTTGAATAGGATACATGAAGACCAAGTTGTAACTGTGAAATATCAAAACTCCTGATGGTTCTTGTAAATGTTTGGGGGCTTACATCACACTGTGTCCCACCCTTCAAAACAGTCTTCTCCTTCTCTGACATCATGGTCCCCAGTGAGCAATGAGAGTCCACATACCTCACACCCTCTTCTGCAGAAATAACAACATGCAGAAATAACAGAACACTTGCTTTTGTTTGGTGATTTTTAGCTGCAGACGTGTCAGTGTTTTCTTTTGAAAATTATTATACATTTGTAGCTGCTGACTATTTTATTTGTTATTTCAGTTGTAGGACTTTAGCATGTGATTCATGTCATTGGATGTAAAGTTTTTACTGATGAGAAATAGTTTAGTTTCTTTCTCCACTAAACTCATTAGCATATAAGTGCAGTATTGTAGCAGCGCTGCAAATAAAGCATCATTAAATATATTTTTGAAATCCTTTAATATCTAAGTGTTTTAACATATTTTTGTTTGTCTTTTGTTCAAAACTACAACTTTTTTATCCTAAAATTTTAAAGTAACAACTGTCTTTGACGTAAATGTTATAACATCAACAAAACAATAAGGGTAACAGTGGCACAWGAATTAAAAGTTGATGTTGCCTTAGCTTTACTGCGTTACTTGACATCACAAATTTAATTTTCATTTAAAATATTCTTATCAAGCAGAGTATCTAAAGTTTTGCATTAAATAAAAATCTGAAACTGGTGGAAATAAATAAGGATTTGTGGATTTATTAAGACTAGTTTAAATTTACATTTCACTTTTTTACGTTTGCATTTATTTATCTCAACAAGAAAATGTCATTAGGATACAAAACGAATTTATGAATTGATCTACAGAACAATGAGGCAATGTACAGTATACTGTGTAGTTAAGAGTTTTTGTAACCTGTTTGAAATGTATTATCCTTTCAGTAAATCCATCCATCCATCCATCCATTTTCTTCCGCCTATCCGGGGTCGGGTCGCGGGGGCAGCAGCTTCAGAAGGGAGGCCCAGACCTCCCTNTTCAGTAAATCAATATAACAAATAACCTGTATTATTTTTTTCACTAGGAAAATTCACCTTTCTTGAAGGTTTTTTTGAATCTCAAGATGAAGAACTTTGGCTAAATAAAACGTGGACCTTTGAGTTGTTCAAACCAATAGAAGATGAAGACTGCAGCGTCTTYGACCCAGTTATGGAGGTCCGTGGCCTGAGGAACTGCAACTCATACAGAGGGGCTGTCTGTCAGTTTAAAAAAGGTAATGTTGTTAGTTCATATCAATCTTGACATAAACTATAAGTTACTTTAATTCCTACAAAGATAAAGAACTACCTGGACATTACTCGTTATCCAGTGCTGTTATGCTGTAATAATTTATTCAATGTTTGATTTTTTTTAAATGTTGACCAAGCAACTCCGTCAACTTGTGGGCTTAATTTCTGGAAATGTCACTGTTACTTTAATAAGTTACTTTTTACAATCTCCTTGTTTGCAGAAGACCTGGACAGTTTCAGTTTACCAAATTCACCATTCTTCAGTAAACTGAATGAAGATTCCATTACTAGACTGGTAAGAAAGGCAGATTAGTTATCTACAGTGCATCATTACTTTACATCACTTTATATGATATTAWTTATCAAACATTTTTAATAACGCAGTGCGACTATAGCCTTACAACTTTCACCCCAAAGTTTATAATTTAATACTTTTGATACTGCAGTGACGGCATTTTCAGAGGTAAGAGTCAGAATTGTGACACATCTTTATCCACAGGTAATGAAGGAGCTAAGTGTCAACACCTCCTGGAGCAGAGATCTGACCTTGCTGCAGCAGCTGACTCAGGCTGTCTTATATAGAATACAGGCTGACGGCCCTCACCTCCTGACCCCGGCTGACATCTTCTCCCTCTCCCAGCTGATTGATTGGATTGCATCTAGTGCCTCCTTTGAAGCAGCTAATTCAGCAGAGGTCATGCTGTCCATTGCTACAAACTATGTAAACGTTGCCAGTATGATGCTGGAGCCGCACATGGCTACACAGTGGGTTGGCCTGACTGAGGATGGGGTGAGATAATACACTGTTTTTTATACATTCAGTTTGTAAAGTGTATTTTAAAGTATCTCCAAAGTCCATCCATCCATCTATCAGCTTTAACAATCCTTTCACCCTAGTAATGAACTTTGTGTGCAGGTCAACGTTGGTCCGTTTACTATTGTCGAGAGCATTGACAGTCTCACTAAAGCTCTTGCAGACACTCTGTCTGCAGAGCGAAGGGGCTTCACTCTTTCTACTAAAAATATAGGTAACATTACAATTTCTTTAATAATCTGTAAACATTTGATATGGTAGTGCTATGTATAAGCTGTAACCATCATAAATAGCTGTGTTTACATGCACAAAATTCTTTGATCAGATTGAAATGTGTTCAGATTAAATAATCCAAATGTATCGTTTATATGGGCACAAATTAATTAATTCGATCATGATGAGCTTTACGTGCACTAGAATTATTCAGAATAAAACCTTTCCTTTCCTTTTCCTAAAAAAAAAAACACAGAAGAAGTTCTACTGTTGTGATGAACATAAACACAGACTGGACCTGCGCCTGGTTTTACTGTGTTTGATCATTTGGAACTCTTTCAAAACATCTAATAGGATTGTTGTATCGCTAACCAATCAATTTTGCTTCCCCGACATATCTAGCCATCTAGCCAGGCCGGAATATGCCAGGTTGACATAAGGCACACAGTCAGGTCTGYTTTCCACAACCAGAAGAACATGATCAGAATAAGTGTTTACATGCGCTCTGTTTGGATTATCAGTCGACGTAAACCACCGCTCTCATTCAGATTACAAATTCATTCTGATCAAGCTGAATCAGATCAGAATATTCCAATTGGGTCRTTCACATGACACATTTTTAATCTGATTGGCTGTTTATTCAGATTACTTTTGTCCATGTAAACGTAGCAGATGAGTAATTTGAGATTATTGGTGTATGCATCACAGCACAGGAAAAACAAATCACCTTATGGTTGTTGTTTTTGCCTGTACTCCTTTTCCTTTTAGTCGTGTACTTGAATTGGCAAAARCTTTCTCAGGACAGCTGTAATCAAGTCTTCAAGCCATCTGCACTCATCTCTCAGCAGCACAGCAGCAGTAGTGTTGATGAGTTGATTATTCCAGACTCTGAACTCCAGAGAATACACGCACAAGGTAGGAGGCACATAAACACACCTACACCTGATGTTCACTTGCCGTATAGATTACTTACCTCTGTGTGGCTGCTAAATAAATTATTGTTGACTTTTCAAACTGAAGATTGCAGTATTTTTACTTGTGACTGGTTTGTCATCATTCTCGATAGTTGTCACATGCTTGTGAAAACTAACCTGCTTTTTTACACCTTTTTTCAAATCAGGATCTGAAGAAGTGATGTTTATTCATACACACTACAACCATCTCAGTGAGATTGTGTCTGAAGCAGAGGAGCCTGCACCGAGTGACAAACTAAAAAGGTTAGATTCTGTTTTTGTGTTATGGCATTCCTTGTATAAATCATTTAACAAAGCTTTAGATACATTCTTTAGCTTGATTTGTTTTGATGTGCTGAAATTTTCCTTTTGTGAAATAAAGCTTTTACATATTTTATGAAAACCGAGCTGTTCAGAGAATCAATTTCAAAAATATTTAATTCAAAAAATCATAAAAAGAACAGCGGCACAGTGGCTCAGTTGGTAGAGCTGATGCCTCTCAGCAAGAAGGTTACCGGTTCAAATCCCGGTCCGGGGACCTTTCTGGGCAGAGTTTGCATGTTCTCTCTGTGCATGCGTGGGTTCTCTCCGGGCACTCCGGCTTCCTCCCACAGACCAAAAACATGACTGTTAGGTTAATTGATAACTCTAAATTGTCCCTAGGTGTGAGTGAGAGAGTGAATGGTTGTTTGTCTCGTTTGTCTCTATGTGTGGCCCTGTGATGGACTTGCGACCTGTCCAGGGTGTACCCCACCCCTCGCACTGTGACTGCTGGATATRGGCACCAGTGACCCACGCAACCCTGAAAAGGAAGAAGCATGTACAGAAAATGGATGGATGGATAAAACAGTAAAAGTAAAAACAATATGTTCAGTAGTGACCTTGTCTCATTTCATCAAAATGATCTGTGCTTGCAGTTGCAAAATGTTTGTTAGGATAAAAGCTTTTATTTGTTTAAATGAACTGAAAATCTAAATGGTAACCATCATCTGTTTTTGTAGTGGTCTCTCAGGTCAGCTATCTTCTGCTGTCATATCAGCCATGGTTCGAGATACATCAAAGGGCCAAACTATTCCTGTGTCCGTCCAGTACACCCTCTCTTCTTCACATACGGTACAATCTGTTGGTCTCACACAGTACAATTATCCATTCTGTAATATGTGTATTAAGTAATTTTGGGGTAATTATTGGAAATATTTGCTATTTCTTACTCAATATGGGGATGCAGTAGCTTGGTGGTCAGTGTCACTGTCTCAAAATTGTAAAGCTGTGGGTTTGAACCGTCAGGAAGGGCATCCAGTGTAAAAAAAGTAATTTCAAAATCCACCATGAATTTTCTCACTGTGAAAGGGAGCAGCTAAGCAACAGATTATTACTTAATACATTAATTGCTTCCGTAACACATTCAGTTAAGTAAAGTTCATAATGGTAAACATTTTATACTGTAAAAGGCTGTGTTTTATTTTTGTAAGAAACATCTATGTTACAGCTGTTCACTTTGATAAAAATAATGAATAGAGCAAGACTTTCTGTTGTGGACAGAGCTGTTGATTCAATTCAAACTTCTTTTTTTTTCTAGGCAGAATATTCGCAGATAGTTAGTCCTGTTTGTGCCTTTTGGAATTTCAGCCTAATGTAAGTTTGATCAACAGCAAACTCACATTAACTACCCTTACATCTTTTTTCTGGTAATTAAATTGAAGTATTTTGAGAAATGACACAATATCTGRCTGTTTTAGTAATCATTTATAAGACTAAAATTTTATTGACTAGCAGATCAAAGTATTATGTATACTGTAAATGAATCTATGCTTTAACTGAAGCAGTGAATGTCTTTTGTGCAAATGTTTTTGTGCTTTGTTGTCCAGACATACTCACACACAAAGCTGGTCCAATGACGGCTGCTCAGTGATCTTTGTCAGCTCTGGTGTCACTTCCTGTCAGTGTAACCACACTACCAACTTTGCAGTCCTGATGAATTACCTGGAATCTAAGGTAACTGTAGGTTTACTGTAAGTCAATAAATCCCAAATAAATTATGGACTCTGGAGGTCAGTGATATGCTATTTTGTAAAAGAGTGATATCATTGTCTTTTTTAATTATTTTCTTTGTGCTTTTATTCCTAAATGATGACTTTTTATTTGCAAATAAAAATAGTACTGTTCAGCATTATTGGATACATAATGTGGAATATCTCCTGAAAAGACAAAGGGTCAAGTTAAACAGCATTTTTTGTGCAGAACACTCAGGTTAAATACAAAAGAACAAATGATAAACAATAATTAAAAAAAAAACAATTGGAGGGAAAAATAGAAAAACCTTAAGCTTGATGTAACACTGGTATTGGCACAGTTTAATTAGTGTAGAAACACATTTTGACTCGCCTGTGGTTAATCACACCTGTGATAAATTTACCTGTGATTTACCTTTATAAATCATTGAWAGTTTGGACAAAAAAATCAGTAAAATATATCATATAGGGGACAGATACAGTGATATTTGAGAAGTGAAATGAAGTTTATATGATTTACAGAAAGTGTGCAATAACTGGTTAAACTAAATTAGGCAGGTGCATAAATTTGGGCACAAAAAACCCTTAACTCAGTATTTAGTAGATCCTCCTTTCAGAGAAACAACAGCCTCTAAACACTTCCTATAGCATCTAATGAGAGTCTGGATTGTGGCTGAAGGTATTTTAGACCACTCTTCTTTACAAAACATCTCTASTTCATTCAGCTTTGATGGTTTCCAACCACAGACAGCTCTCTTTAAGTGACACYACAGATTTTCAATAATATTCAGGTGTGGGGACTGAGATGGCCATTCCAGAACATTGTACTTGTTCTTTGCATGAATACATTAGTAGATTTTGAGCAGTGTTTAGGGTCGTTGTCTTGCTGGAAGATGCAGCCCTGGCTTTAGCAGCTTCAGCTTTGTCACTGATTCCTGGACATTGGTCTCCAGAATCTGCTGATATTGGTTGAAATCCATGCATCCCTCAACTTTAACTAGAACACAACATGATGGAACCACCACCACATTTTACTGTAGCAGGTGTTTTTCTTGGAGTGCTGTGTTCTTTTTCCTTCATGCATAACGGCCCTTGTTAGGCCCGAATAACTCTATTTTAGTTTCATCAGTCCACAGCACCTCATTCCAAAATGGAGTTGGTTTGTCCAAATGTGCTTTAGCATACCTCAACCAGCTCTGTTTGTGATGTGGGCGGAGAAAAGGCTTCCTCTGCATCACTCTCCCATACAGCATCTCCTTGTGTAAAGTGTGCTGAATAGTTGAACGATGCACAGTGACTCCATCAGCAGCAAGATGATGTTGTTGGTCTTTGGTGCTGGTATGTGGGTTGATTCTGACTGTTCTCAACATACTTCACTTCTGTTTATTGGAGATTTGTCTTTGTCTGCCACTTCAATCCTTGACTTGAACTGTGCCTGTGGTCCTCCATTTTCTCACAATGTTTCTCACAGTGGAGATTGAAAGCTGAAATCTCTGAGATAGCTTTCTGTATCCTTCCCCTAAACCATGACGGTGAACAATCTTTGTTTTCAGCTCATTTGAAAGTTGTTTTCAGACTCCCATGCTGCCACTCTTCAAAGAAGATGCTAAGAGGAGAAAAACTTACAATTGCCCCCCTTAAATACCATCCATCCATTCCATCCATCAATTATCTATACCTACTTATTCCTTCAGTGTCAGGGGGGGTCACTGGTGCCCATATCCAGCAGCCACAGTGCGAGGGGYGGGGTACACCTTCGACAGGTTGCAAGTCCATCACAGGGCCACACATACTGTAGAGACAAGACAAACAACCATTCACTCTCTCACTCATTCCTAGGGACAATTTAGAGTTATCAGTTAAACTAATAGTCATGTTTTTGGTCTGTGGGAGGAAGCCGGAGTACCCGGAGAGAACCCACGCWTGCACAGAGAGAACATGCAAACTCTACCCAGAAAGGTCCCCGGGCCAGGATTTGAACCGGTAACCTTCTTGCATCAGCATCAGCTCTACCAACTGAGCCACCATCCCTTTCTCATAATTGGAGTCACCTGTGTATGGAGGTCAAGGGTCACCGAACTTACAAACCAAATTTGAGTTCCAATAATTAGTTCTAAAGGTTTTGAAATAAATAAAATGACAACAGTGCCCAAATTTATGCACCTGCCTAATTTAGTTTAACCAATTATTGCACACTTTCTGTAAATCACATAAACTTCATTTCACTTCTCAAATATCACTGTTTGTCCCCTATATGATATATTTTACTGTTTTTCTTAAATCCAAACAATCAATGATAAATCAGAAGAATTAACAAGGCTGCCCAAACATTCGCACCCCGTTGTATATAGTAGGATAAGTAATCACCCACTATAATTATTGGCACTTTTATTTTTGTTAACTTATTTTTTCCTGCTTTTTTAGTGGAGTCCTGAAGATAACCTTATTTTGAGCAAGTTGACATTCATCGGTTCTGGTGCATCTCTGTGTGCGCTGGTGGTTACCTTGATGCTCTTCACTGTGCTGGAGTGAGTAGATGACTCTCCTGGCCTAACCTACATGCAAATAAGCTGCTGTTTTGTTGTCAGAAACAACAGACACAACTCCTCCAAGTGCACGTTTTGCTTTTAAAATGTCCACAACACAATTTCATTTCTTTTTATTTTTTTAATATTCATTTTYTGTCCATTGTTAGTTGCAGTCTCATACATTTGATTGTATAATAAGTGTTTTTTTGTCAATAAGTATTATTCAATTAAAGGAATACTAAATTCCTTAAGTCTGCTGAAATTACCAGTGACAACTAATTTAGACTGTGCCATTCATTAGGAAAACCATCAGAGGCACCAGGATAACCTACTGGCACTGTGGTTGCTTCTCTTCTTCTCTTCTGCCTGAAGGCTGCTATCAGTATTGACTTGTGCTAATCCAGTAATTACTGTTSTCTACATGTGAGTCCACCCTAAAGGTTTATGGTGGAATACTGCAGCTGTTAATTAACATTATGGTCACAGAGGGATCAGATCAGCAGGGAAAGAGCTGCCCTAACAATTTATGACTGTCCTAAAAACAGAGTGCAGCCCTTCATCTCACACATGCTGGCATATGATGTTCGTGTAAATTAAGAAAGCACAAACGCACCAAGCCAAATACTTGTTTTCACACTGTGAAATCACACCTGGTGTCAAGCAGTGATGCATAGATGACATGAACCGAATAGTTCAAAACCAAATTAAATTGCCATAAATTATTTTATTAAAATACATTTCTTTTTTTACATTTATTTATAGACCTTTGTAATGGTGTAGAAAATACATTTGGCAATCTTGTAACCCCTTGGAAGTAAAAGAACCTCATGTCTAATTAATGCAACATTGACTCCTAAATATTTCAGAAACAAGCAACAAGAAAAAATAAAAAAAATCTTCACCACACTGAAAAGCAAATTTATTACCATTTCTGATGTCTGTTCTGTGATACTCACTTATCATTTCTCATCTGTGATATTGTCCTTGTTTGTCTTTACAGTATTCCCAAATCAGATAGGACTTCAACTCATAAAAATCTGTGCATAGCTTTAATCTGCGCCCAGGTGATTCTGCTCTGCAGCGGCTCAGCCATTCATAGTAAGGTATTGTACAAAACGGTTACTCATCTTCTTTCATCTCTTAGTGTAAGTCATCACATGTAAAAATACATGTGAGTAATAAAAACATTCTAAAAGCTTAATTTTTATAGGTAGATACACAATAAAAAGAGATTAAATCACATAATAACTAATGTTTTTGACATGACACAGGCAACCACAACTGTTGCATTCATATGCTGGACATAGTTTAGTATTAAGTGTTCTCTTAAGGGGCTGTGCCCCTTCCTCGTCCTTTGACTTCAGCCACTCAACCATATACACTTATTTTCATATAAACTTTTATTTTTGCCTGTAAAGCTATAAATTATTTGTACACACAGTTTTGTTTTAAAATGCAACACAACCTGTGCGTTTGTCTCCATGCCTGTGTTGGCTTGTTTGAAGGTGGGATGCACACTTGTTGCTGCACTGCTTCATCTATTCTTCATGGCAGCTTTCAGCTGGATGCTGGTGGAAGGTCTGTTGCTCTGGAGCAAAGTAGTAGCTGTCAACCTGAGCGAGGATCATCATATGAAGTATTACTATCTCATCGGCTGGGGTACTGTGGCTTTATAAACCCAAGTATTTGTACAAATAAATCTGTGAATGGGTTCATTGGGTTATAATTTACTTATTTCAACTCTTAATTCTCCTTACTCTGTGTTTTTTATTTCTATTTTTCTTAATTACAAACAGGCCTGCCAGTGCTGATAGTTACCATCACGCTAGCATCSGCCTTTGAGAAATACTCAGCTGATGACTACTGTTGGCTCAGTGTCCAGAATGGAATCATCTGGGGCTTTGTGGGGCCTGTCATCTTCATCATTATGGTCAGCAATTTATCCATCCATGTCCTCTTTTCTAAAATGATTACAGTTGTTGTGTTTTTGACAGATGTGTACATGCCGTGGTTATAGTCCTTACCAACATGAATGGTRTCAATAAAACATAAAATGGTATATCATATAAATGTTGAGTAAAAGTTAGCAATTATAGCTATTTTTTTTATTTTTCACCTTTATAGCTTTTGCAACTTTAGAAAAATTCAGCTGCATTTCTATACTTTACATTATTTATTTATTTATTTATTTATTTATTTATTTATTTATTTATTTATTTATTTATTTATTTATTTATTTATTTATTTATTTATTTATT